TAGAATGGAAAAATGAAGTCAGATATCTAGTCCTAACCTGGTCAACAAACTTCTCTGGAAATTACATGAGAAGGAAGTAGTAAATAAAGCCACAAAAAGCCTGATGGTATGCAGAAACATTGAGGGTAAACGATGGGGACGTAACCCGAACACACTGCGATGGGTATATACTGCAATAGTGAGACTAATCATCACTTACTAGGCTATAGCCTGGAGTAACAAAACTAGTTTAGCTCTCAAAAGTACAAAGACTAGCTTGTGTTTGCATCACCAGTGCAATGAGAATCTGTCCTGCGGCCGCAATGGAGATGATTTAAAACTTAACCGTCTACATTTAATCAGAAAATGTGGCAAAAAGTACACGATATAGAATGAGCAGAAACAGATTATTCAGACGAAAGTCTATTAGCTTCAGGACCGAAGTTACTTAGGTTATGCCGCAAGATGAAATGAGAAAGAAGTACAGTTTTGTGAAAAACTTCAAAACAACAGACTGGGCTGCAAGAAAGAATTGAGTCAAGAATCCATCGTTCTTGCAACCAAAAGACATGCTATTCAGTGGTATACGGATGGTTCTAAAACCATATAAAGAATTGGAAAAGGCATGTATAAGCCTAGAAAGTTTGGGAAAATAACCAAGCATCTTTCAGGTAAAAATTCATGCCATCAAGAAGTGTATCCTGTTTAACATGGAGAGAATTTATCGTAGACAAGAGATTATCAACATGTCCGATAGCCAAGCAGCCATCAAAACGCTGAGCTCTTACGTAATGAGCTCAAAAATGATTTGGAGATGCCTAGAATAATTAAATGAGCTAGACGAGAAAAATACAGTTACTTTCTCTTGGAATATAACGAGGTACGGGGTAATGGAATTGCTAATAGTCTCGCAAGGAATTGGGTTCGAACACCCTTTATGGGACCTAAGCCGTTCTGCGGTATCAGAAGCAACATAATATTAAGAGAGATTAAAAAAGACGGGCAGTAGAAGAATAGATAATTAAAACAATCTCTTGGGGCTAAGACAGGCTTAGATACTTCTGGGTTAATGTAACCAGAAAAAATCGAAAGCCCGTATCTGCTGAGCAAGAATAGGCGACGTATTGTAACAGGGATTGTTACTGGGCATTGTCGACTAACCGGACACCTTAGTGAACTGAGAGTATTAAAAGAAGTGAGTGCAGATTTTGTGAAGAGGACGATTAAACCTTCATTTACATTCTGACTGAATGTGTAGCACTCGAGAATCCAATTGAACTATACCTAGGAGAATAACAAATAGAAGAGGGAGGTTTACCTAACTTAAAGCCACTCTAAATCCTACACTTCCTTGAGAAGATATGATTGGAAGGATTGTTATAGACTTTAAGACATTTTCTTGTTGCATTAGCGACAGAAGGTGACACAATTAGGCATTCCAAACTGAATGGCTACCAGTGGGTTTTGACGGGTTATGATATGGCAAAATTATAGCAACCCTGTAGGCCTGGTGATTTGACAAGGTCAATGAAATAGGTAGTTACATAGATTGATTATCCATATTTTTCAAAATAAACATAAGCTTATGCTTTCAAGTAAAAATGTATGCAATTATTATTTTTTAAATATCTAAAGGCTAAAAATTGGTTTTAAAATACATTTTTGCCAAACCGATTCAAATTAATAAATATTTGCCAGACAATATGGCCGCTCGCAAACGACCAACTGTAAGCAATCTATATAACTATATATGTATCATTGACCCTGTTAATGACAACATGACAACAGGGTTGCCATATCTAAACTGTCATTACCCACTGGTAGCCATTTGGACAGGTCGTTGGAATGCCTAATAGATCTTTTAGGCCGCGGTCTTAGATAAAAGAGACCGGAGATTAAACATTGCACATCGCGCATGTTGTCTATTCCAACCCTAAGTAACCCACCAATTAAAAATCATTGTGTTCACGACGCCACCTGAATTGCTCCGAAATTTCTATTCTATGCTTGTCTCCGCGTGAGTAAATCATTTATGGACCTCCGTTTTTTGAATTATTTGTTGGTGTTATTAGCAATTTAAAGTGTTTTAGTTATTCAATTTCAAGTTGAAAATGCCACGATGTATGGTGAAAAATTGTATACACAAATAATATAAGTGTCAATGTTATGAAAAATAAGAAATTAATATTATCTCTGAGAAATTAATTCGTTTTCAGCGGTAAATATTTGTTGACGTTTTGACATAAAGTCGCTATGATTCTTTGAGCTGAATACTTCAGATCCGCATTAAGGGGTTTCAATAAATATTAAACATCAAATACATAATATTTCAGAAAATAGATTTCATAATGCATTAATTTACAAAAGAGTAAAATTTTAAACATTTAATCTAAATAAGAAGTAAATAGGCATTGTTACTAACGAAATTTTGTTTTTAAAAAGTAGTTTTATAAGAATATTTACTAAAGGTAGTTTTTAGCACTTTATTAGGTATTTTTACAAGAATATTTGATGAAATACAGGTTCACCTACTTAAAATTTCAAGGTTCATTTTATTTGCGGTTAAATCGGAAGTGACATTTGAATCTTTAAGTCTTAAAACAAAGTAAAATGCGTAATATGAGCAAAAAAATACTAAAGTTACGGAAATTAGTCATATTATTAGTAAAATGTTACATTATAAACCCCTAAAACTCGAAAAAAAATATTCGTTTACTAAAAAAACTACTAAATTACTAAATTCTAGCAATATTTATTATAGAATCGAATGCGATTTCAAAGATAACAGGATCAATAAATCCAAATCTCTAAATTTTGGAGCTAAATGCTCGGATAACAGCATGCGACCGATAGGGGTTACAAAAATAATAGATTTATCGTTTTTATGAAAATCGATTTATCCGTTATAATTAATCGAATATTTTTAATCGATTATTTGTGATTAATCGAACATTTTCAATAAATTGTTTTCGTTTTTTTAGGTAATGGAATAATCGATTATAAAGGAATTACATACAGAAAGAGTAGATTTATTCAAAATATTCGATTTATTGAAAATAATCGATTTTTAAAAAAAAATCGATTTGTTGTTTAATCGTCTTTTTAAATTAATCGAATATTTTCTATTTATCGAATATTTTCGACTAATCGATTGTTATTCGAATTTGTTTTAAAATAGAAAAAATAGATTATATAAAAATAATAATCGATTGATCGAATACAATCGGTTATATTATATAATCGATATTTCGGTTATTTTTTAGAATTATCGATTTATCGGTCAATCTGCTTTTTATTAATCGATTATTTTCGATTTTTCAAAGAAATTTAAATAATCAATTTTAAAAGGAATATAAAAAAAGAAAAGGATTATTTGTAAATAATCAATAATTCGGTTGTTTTTTTTTTTGGAAAATCGATTTATCGTAGAATCGTCTTCTTAATTAATTGATTATTTTCGCTTAATCGGTTATTTTCGATTAACCGAATATTTTCGATTAATCGATTATTTTCAATTTTTCAAAGGTATTCGAATAATTTGTTTTAAAAGAAATGGGAAAAAATAGATTATATGAAAATAATCGATTGATCGAATATAATCGGTTATTTTATATAATAGATATTTCGGTTATTTTTTAGAATTATCTATTTATCGGTCAATCAGGTTTTTATTAATCGATTATTTTTGTTTTTTCAAATAATTAATTTTAAATGAAATATGAAAACAAAAGCATTATTTGAAAATAATCGATAATTCAGTTCCTTTTTTGGAAAATCGATTTATCGTAGAATCGGCTTCTTAATTAATTGGTTATTTTCCCTTAATCGATTATTTTCATGTTTCAAAAATGATAGAATAATTGATTTTAAAGGAAATAATTCTTTTTTTTTTTGAAAAATCGATTTATCGATTATTCGATTTTTTAATTAATCGATTATTTTTGATTAATCGATTATTTTTGATTAAACGATTATTTTTTATTAATCGATTATTTTAGATTTTTCAATGATTATCGAATAATCTATTTCAATGGAAATACGAAAAAAAAAATAGATTATTTAAAAATAATCGATTATTTAAAATAAACGATAATTGGTTTATTATTTTTTGTAAACACTGATTTATCAGTTAATTGGCTTTTTAATTAACCTATTATTTTTGATTTTTTAAAGATAATTAAGTAGTCGATTTTAAAGGAAATACGAACAAAAATAGGTTTGAAAATAATCGATTGATCGAAAATAATCGATTATTATTATTGATTAATAATTTATTTCAATAATCACCTACTCTTAGCGACCAAATGCCTTTTAATAGGTTTAAATTTTAAAAGGTTATCTGGTTTCAGACATATGCATTTCTAGAGTTTTATGTGACTCATCCTATATATTAATTAATATTCCTAAAGAAACAAGCTTTAATATATCTTTTTCTGAGGTTATAATACAAAACAGCATTTTCTCATTTTGACTAATTTTTAATATTATGTGATAGTCGTGGAAAAAATATAATATTCAACTCACAAGGTTTGATTTGCAGTATTCGCCTGCGCACATGCTTTTTTTATAATACTCGTAGACAATGAGTACCATTTCTTACTCGATTAACAATATTCTATTTCAACATTTTACTGTAGTCTGTTACAGAAAAGTCCGTAGTAAATAATAGCTAACTAAATATTCTATAAAAGGTCTTCTCTTTACATAAAATGTCGTGGCATTTATTTGATATTAAAAAATCACGTTAAATTTATTTCATAATACAAAATTCCATTAAACGTATATTTTAAATAAATCTAATAGTTCATTATGATGCTAATGAATAAAGTCCGGTCCCTGTCACAGAGTTCGGGTTCCTGCCCAGTTCCCCCACTCCGTTAACCTTTCTTTATAAATTGGCAACATTTGCGCAGGTTAATCACCGGTGTATGTTATATCTCTGGTCTCTTTTATCTAAGGCCGCGGTGTATTAACATCCCATTCCAAATATAACATAACATATCCTAGTATCATTGTTCGTAGTGTCTACGAACCGTGAGGACAAGGTTACTTGAATAAGTTAGATCAATGCATCAATGGCTTTGTTCTAATAATATGTCACCAACTTTGTCACAATCAGGAACAGTCAAATAATTGTCACAGTTTAAAAAATGTGTAATAGTAGATACATAAGGTTACAGTATTGAACTGTTAGTTGTGTTTTTAACATTGTTTTTAGGACAAAGTGGATTTATTTATTTTTGGATTTGTTTAATATTTATTAAAATAGTCATCTTTTAAAGTCAAGACCATAAATTAGGTATTGTAAAAGATGAATTTTCACAAAGGAGTTAGTAGTATTTAGATGGTTTATTGAATGTTATTTCCCTATGCCAGACTCTCAATATAAACTAAGGTGGGTAATATTTTTATTTTTTTTTAATCAACTATTAAGTTGTATGTGATTTCGGTTACTGTAAACAATACGGACACAACAATTTTCACTATTTTTACTATATTCTTAATGCGAATCATACTACTTACTATTTTTGATCAATTCAACTGCGGCAAAACCAAAATAACCAAAGTTAATATAAAAATATTGTGTAATAATTAGAAAATAAACCATTTTCCTAAAAAAGCCTATATTATTATCTACAGCCGTGTTGCCAATTTTTTAAGTGCCTGTATTTGATAAAATATCGGACAGTTGATAACACTATCGATGGTAACTACAGCAATCGAGTGTCAATTCCATAAAAATTATTAATTTATTTCGTTTCCTAAAAAACTCTTTTACATTTAATTTCCAACCATATCCGGCGATTTATACATTCATTTTGATTGTAGAACATATTGACTAAATATTAATATTATATCATCTCTAAAATACTTTTTGAAAACTTTTAAACTTAATTACTTTGTGTAATCCAAAACCGTTTTAAAGCGATGAACCAGAAATCACTTTGGTTATACCCCTGGTTAACCTTGAAATCACGTGACTAAAGCCCTAAAAAGATAACCTGTTATTGTAACGCATTAACGTTAAATCGCACATACTTTGATTACTATACGAGGCAAGAGAGAGGTCCGACACGCCCAACATAGGGCGCGGCCATTTTGAAACCTGTGACACAGTTTACAGCTAAAGAATCAGATCGCTCACTCTGCGTCGGCACTTTGGATCTCAATGTTTCAGTTTATACACTGTACAACTCGGATAATACAATATATGACAACCGCCTATAATAAAACAGCAGTCTTCTGCGTATCCTGAATTTTTATCCCTGGAGTGGATTTTATTTTGGAACTTTCAACGGGTCCGAGTGAGATAACTGATTCTTTAGCATTAAACTGTGACTTCAAAAATAATATTCACTGACACTGACAGCAGCAAGCAAAATATCAGGTGCGTTTTAATCATCCGCCTCTGCTTCCGGAATTGTCGGTTTAGTCGTTTTAACCGACAATTCCGAAGCAGAAGCGGATGATTAAAACGCACCTATTAAAAATATTGCGCCAAGATGTAGGCAATACGTAATAAGGGTTCAAAATCGCGGAGTTTTTTATCTCCTTTTAAAAGGCACTCAGAAAGCTGCGACCATTCTCCGTATAGTAAAAGAAAATCAAAGTATGTGTTAAATCGTTTTTAAGGATTATGACATAAAAATTGGACATTTAATTTCTAGGTTAACTTTATGAAACTAGCCGGAATAAAATTGTGTGATGTTAATATGTTACCATAAAGAATTATATTTGTGTAGACTGGATGTTACAATTTAATAAGGAGCAGTTTGACATGTTTTTTACATGATGTCAAAAACATTTTTTGATAATTTACGTAGCTAATGACATTTCCAATTTTGACTGAGCTAATTCTATAATCTAACCAAGAAACACTAATTGCATGTCACTTCCACTTGTCATTAATAACTCACGTCTGGACTAAGGTATTTACCGGATATAATTAATGACGTTTTAAAGGGCTTAAATATGACGTTATAGAAAGTAACCAAGGATAACAAACATTGCCTTAATTAAAACGGTAAATACCGCAAATGACCGGTTGATCACTCTAAAACGGTTCAAGTTTTTATACTTTTTTTAAAATATGAAATTTATCTGATAATGCATTGTCAACCATTGCCTTTAACAAATAAAGAGGATAGCTGAATTCGTTCAAGTTCTGCTGAGTCAGCCGTAACGTGACGTCACCCCTGGATGCTTTCAACGGTTCAGTCGGAACTCATTTAAAATATACATCGATACAATACACCTATTTTTATTCTATTTATTTTTAAACTAAAAGGTATTTCTGATATTCAAAACACCATTTTAATCAGAGAAAAAATTACAAACATCCCAAAATTACAGAAGTAAAATAGGTAATAAATTTGAATACTGCCGCCATGTTATCTAAAAATATTTCTCAAATAACACATATTTAAGAAATTTGACATGCTTGTTATAAGATAGAAGTCGAAATTTATATAGAAAGTGTACAAAAGTTAAATAATATTAAATTTCTGATAGGTTTACAAAAAAGTTTTTTTTTTGTTTATGAAAAAACACTCCAAAAGGGGCGTTTATTGATATTACAATCTGATCAAGAGTTGATCAATGAGTAATTTTGTTATAACCTAACTTAACTAGGGTTGCAATCTTAAAAACTAAAGTTCTACTCGGGGTCTAGTCTGATAACTTAATTACACTAAACTAACGTGTAACACTAAATTGCACAATGCTTTGCTTTGTTATTAACACAATCACTTGGCTAACTCAAAAGGTTTCACTCTCTTGAGTCTTCTTGTCAGGTTCGTGTTGTCAAGAAGCTGGATCGCCTCAACGTTCACATGTTGGTGGAGCCGTTGTTCGTGACTCCTAGCGAATCTGGTGATAGTCTGGTCAACAGTGTCCATCTAAAGATCTGGATGAAGGTCGCTGTTTCTAATGTACCAAGGAGCATCGACAATGTTCCTCAATACTTTGTTCTGGAATCTCTGGATTATTAGAATATTACTGTAGCTGGCACAACCCCAGAGCTGAATGCCATAGGTCCAAATTGGTTTGAGAACTTGTTTATATAATAGAATTTTGTTATGTGTAGATAAGCTGGAATGCCTACCAAGTAACCAGTACATTTTCTTGAATTTTATATCTAACTCTTGTCTTTTCTTTTTAACATGGACCTTCCAGCGAAGTCTTGCATCTAATGTAATACCTAGATATTTTGCCGAGTTAGTATAAGGGACCTAAGCATTATTTATGTTAATTGGTATTCTTTGACCATTTTTGTTAGTAAAATTAATATTAACAGATTTGGCTTCGTTTAGTTTAATACGCCATTTTTTGGTCCATTTATGTATTTTATTAACTGATGTTTGTAGTTTATTTGCAGCCTCTTCATGATCTTTGCCTATCGCTAGGATGGCAGTATCATCTGCAAATGTAGCTATTGTGTCTTGTTCTAGTTGGGGTATGTCACAAGTGTCCCTGTCCCTGTGGTACTCCTGCTTTAATTTCTTTCAAATCAGAGTATGCTTCATCTTGTTTTACTCTAAAGAATCTATCTGAAATGTATGAATCCAATAGCTCTGAGTATGGCTGTGGAAGTAGCATATTCAGTTTATGTCTTAAGCCACCATGCCATACTTTATCAAAAGCCTGCGCAACATCGAGGAAGATGGCTGAACAGACTTCTTTGTTTTCTAATGCTTTTTCAATAGCATTTGAGATTCTATGAACCTGATCTATAGTTGAATGGTTTTCTCTAAAGCCGAACTGGTAATCTGGAATAAGTTTTCTTTCTTCAATGATGGTTTTCAGTCTTTTTATTAGTATTTTTACAAATAGTTTTGATATTATAGGCAATAGAGATATTGGCCTATATGACGAAACTTCGTTCGGAGGTTTTCCTGGTTTGGGGATCATAATGACTTCAGCTACTTTCCACAATCTAGGGATATACCTTAGTTTGAATGAAGCATTAAACAAGTGTGTAAGTTTAATTATGGCTTTCTTCGGAAGTTGTTTTAAGACTTCTCCTGTAATTAAATCATAGCCAGGAGTTAGGATTAATATTTGTTTTTATATCTTCTGCAATTTCCTTTGGAGAGGTTGGTCCGATAATTGAGTCATCTCTCACTAGAGGAGCCCAGTTCGGTAATTCTTCTTCTTCATTTGGTTTGAAGGTGTTTTCTAAGTGTTCTGCGAATCTATTAACTTTTTGTATATTATTTCTAGCCCAGCTACCATCTGTATTCCTGATTGAAGGATTCTCCACAGTGGGTCTTTTTAATCGCTTTTTGGCTTTCCATAGAGAATAATCAGTGAATTTATCATTTGTCAACTCACTAAGGTATTCACAAATAGATTCATTTTTGATTCGTTTTATCTTTCTTTTTATCTGATGGAGCTCTGGTCTGATGCCATGCCCTCCGTAGTTTTCTTTTTGCAGAGATTAGGTCCCTTATTTCTTTAGGATAGTTATTTCCTGTTGTTAGCTGCATAATAGGTGGCGTATTATCCCATGCTGCTTGTTGTATGTTGGACACAAGTAGTTCTACTTCTTCATCTAGCTGTGCTTTTGTTCTTAACGGAACTGAAAGATTGATTTTAGTTTCAAGGTCCAGTCTGAAGCTTTGCCAGTCTCTTCTCCTATTTGTTAGTCTAGGAGCGCTTTCCTTTTGGATAATGGTGTCACTAAGAGTGAGAAGAATGGGCGAATGATCTGAATTCATGTCCCATGCCTCATCAACTTGGATGTAGTTTGCTGAAATATTTCGTACAACAAAAAAGTCTATTTGGTCGGGTATTTTGTTTCTATCTGTGGGCCAATAAGTTCGTTTGCCAGTTGAATGCGACTCACATTTTAACATGTGTCATTGCTTCTTTTAGGGTTTTACCCTTAGTTGTCGTTAGTCTGGAGCCCCAATGGGTGTGTTTTGCATTAAAGTCGCCTCCAATGATAAATCTAGGTTCTTGACTTTTGAGTAAATCTAGGTATTGTTCTTTCTTAACAGTATATCTTGGAGGACAATATACAGAATTGACCATAACATCAGAAGTTTAAGATTTTATCATTACTGAAGTAGCCTGAAATTCTTCAGTCCTGTATCCCGCTTCTTGATGATGCTTAATTGCTTCTCTAATTATTACTGCGCTACCCCCTCTTGCTGCATTTCTGGGATGAATGGTATGATAAATCTTATATCCCTTAAATTTAATAAAGGACTTATTGGTAAAGTGAGTCTCTGAAATTAAACATATGTCTATGTTTTCTATATCTAGGATCGCTTGCAATTCTTGTTGGTGCTGCAGCAGTCCATTAGCATTCCATTCCATTATTATTAGGCTATTACTCATTATATTGTCTCTTAGGTATAGCTCCTTTGCTACTATATTCTAACCTAGTAA